TGTGTGTGTGTGTGTGTTGCAATAGGAGTTTCTTAAGGACGAAGCAAAGAGTTGCTGACAGACTTACCAAATGTGTCTGGGCTTAATTTCAAAAAGAAATTAAATCAACTCAAACTACTATAATACACATTTTGTCATTTAATCATCTGTTCAATCAGTCTAGGTCAAATCACCGACAGGCTTTTTGTCACTGACAGAGTTCAGGTCTGCCTGTCATGCTACTCAGCAGTGTTTGTTGTTGTAGTTTCTATGTGTTTTGGCTGCCTTATTGGCTAATGCACTGCCCCTTAATCATTTCAAACTGCTTCCCATGTGAACACAGTCGCCACAGATGTGTGTTTATGCACATGCACACAGTGACTGGCTTTGACCTAGTAATGACGAGTCACATCCCCATGGTACTGTCAGTCCAGCTCGGGGCAGAGGGGGAGGTAAATTGGTTTAGGAAAAGATGCAGCAGTTGCACAAGTGTGTGTGTTTCTGAGTGAAAGACGAGTATATATGTGTGTGTGTGTGTGTGTGTGTGTGTGTGTGTGTGTGTGTGTACAGATGGTCATGCCACTGAAGAGCTGAGGCTTTGGGCTTTTCTGACGTGAAGGAAAGCAAAGGAGAAAGATTGTGAGGTGGTTTAAACAAAACAAAAGTGACACGTTCAGCATTCGGCTGGAATTTGTTCTGAAAAAGAGGACAAAATGTGCAGCTACAGTGAGCAGCACTAAATCTCTCCTCTCCTGTCGACAAAGCATGCTCAGAGTTTATGATCACATATAGAATTTATTTTAGCGGCCCACCCAAATAAGTTTGCCCCCATGCTAAAAAGATTTTTTTTATAAATTTTTTGTCTTCTTTCTTTCGTTTTGTTCAAAAATCGTTATTTGCAAGTTTGCAAAAGGTACAAATTCAATACCTGCCCTGCATCCACGTCCTCCCTCTCTATGGTTGCGTCCCTTTTAACAGCCCCCCTCTCACACCCTGAGGTCTGCTATGGCTTGGCCATAATAAATTGAGTAAGGTGTAATGTACAGTGTTTCTCTGTTTATGAGAGACCACAATCTCCAAAGTGTCATGAAAATGTGTTGGCCATTTTTTGGTGCAGTTTCACAAGGTGGTTTCACTGCGGGCGGAGCTGAGCCCCTGCACACAGAGCTCATCAGAGTGGAGGAGAGACAGGGGTGAGAGTTACCCAATAGTTTGGGTTTAATAAAGCAGTTACCGATCAGTTAAAACATGCCTTGATCTGCCCTGATACTGATCTTCGAGATCGGATTGGGAAATCCCCGGCGTTTATGGCTTTCTAGTAAATAAAGTCGGCACATATTACAATTTGGACTTTGAACTGACTGTTGCAAAACTAATGCCGGGTTCATAAAACTCTGTTGCAAAACATAAATGAAGAAGCTGTTGGTTTGGGTTCTAAGAGGAGCGGATGGTGTTTTCCTATGCATTGCATACTAACACATATTAACCTGAATGTGTCAGATGGTTTGTTACATAAAATCTGGGAAGTTGTTGTTGGGATCTGTTTGGCGAAGGACAGGCACTTTTAGAAAGTCCATGGCAGGTGATTGGATCTGTCTGTCAGGGGCGAACTTCAACCAATCAGGTCAACCAACCATTTAACATTGTCAAAGTTAGGAGTCAGGAGAAGCGCAAAAGAATCTTTTCCATCGAGAAAAGTTTTCAGTGCTGTTCTTTGCTCTTCCTTAACGAAGAAATACGGATCTACTTCTGATATAGATGATGCTAGCAGCAGCTAGGCTTACATCTTGAACAGCCGCCTTTGTTGTTTGGATTCAAGATGGATTCTCACATGATCTCAGTCCAGCTGCCGTGCAAAGTG